GGGAACAATCAGGGTGGAAAAAGGGAATAACATTAAGAAGAGAGAGAGAGAGAGAGAGAGAGAGAGAGAGAGAGAGACAAAAAAGTGATAAACAGGGTATGTATGAGAGGAGCTTTTGCTTTGTGTTTTGATTTATTCATATCTGACCATTAACCTAGAAACCCTATGTTGTTCGTAGGTTTGAATGTGTGTTTTTGTGGCTGTGTGTGAGAGAATGAGTGTGTGTGTGAGGTTTAGTAAAAGTTGTTTAGAAAAGATCAAGAGAGAGAAAATATGGCGGGAAGGAGCAAACAATAAGCTTCTTGTCAAATCCAAGGCTAGTAACGAGTACAGATGAAGAGTGTTTAACAATGAAAAGACAACCAGAAAGATGACAGTGGAGGGGAGAGGACTGAACATGAGAAAAGAAAGAGGAAGGAAGAGAGAGAGAAAATCTTAGCTCCATATGCATACTGAACGTTTTTTTCCCATAGGTTTCCCCTCTTTCACACTACTGACCCAGTTCTACCCATAATCCCCCTGACGGCCCTGACACATCTTTATACTCTGTACTGTTTCCAATATACGATTAGGGCAACTGATGACAATTGTGGCTTTTATCCAATCAGAGCTCTGAGAGATTAAAAGGTTACTTAACCTACAAATGAAATTTACCCTCCCTCACGTTGTACCAAACCTTTATAATTTCTCTTCTTTACATATGAGGAGATATTTTCAATATATTCTAGTTCAACTTGTGATTTTCCAAAAAAAGAAAGCTTCAACAAAAACTAAAAACAGTAAAAGTCTGAGTCTTCTGAAGCCATACAGCATATTTCTGTGAGGAACAGACCAAAAATGAACTTCCCCCCTCTTCACATCTCTCAAATCACTTATAAAGTGGCTTGTGAACTGCTTTGATGCTAACCTTTATTATAACCTTTTCCCCCCAGTAAATATACCCTTATTAGACCCTTAAATACCTTAATTCAAAAATGAAGCAAGTGACTGTCTTTATGGATGAATCACCGAATCATTGACTCACTTGATCTGTTCAAACAGCTGATTCATTCAGAAATGAAGCAAGTGACCGTCTATATGAATGAGTCACTGAATCACTGACTTGATCCATTCAAACAAATGATTTATTCAGAAACGAAGCAAGTGAATATCTTTATGAATTAGTCACTGAATCATTGACTCCCTCGATCCGTTCAAACAGCTACAGTAATTCTTTCAGAAACGAAGCAAGTGACTGCCTGCGTCCCAATGTTCATACTATCCATCTTAAATAGTATGTGACATTAGAATAAGTGTGTAACAAAGCATACTAGTATGCTGAAGAGTATGACAAACGTCCCCAGATGGTTTACGATTTCAGGTAGATTTTTGAAGTGTGGATCCATGCACACTATAGTGGCTAATATTGTCTACAATCCATTGCGCTTTGGCGAAGGATTCGGTTGAGAAATATAAACACGAATAAAAAGCTAAAGTTAAAAAACTACAAACATGGTGGATGTGCGCGAATCAACGGTTAAATAGAGAGGTTTAGATAAAGGGGTTTGAGTTACTACTTATCAATATTTAACCTGGTAAAAAATATTTAATATCTTATCTGTGTTATACTTCATCTGCAACAACAATGTGAATTTTAATAACATCTGTTTGTCCATTAACTTTTAAATGTATCATCATGCAAAAAATATGAGCAGATGCTAGGAGACCCAGGTTCGAGACCCACTCGGAACAAGAACGAAGTGTGGCGGTGAGGACCCGGGAGAGAGGGGTTACATTGGTGCCGTGACCCGGATGGGAGTGAGGTTTATGGGGTGAGTGTAACGGAGGCTAGCGGGTAGGTGCTGTGCAGGTAAACCTCACTCCCCTGATCTTAAGAGGCGCACTAGCGACTGACGCTAGGGGCTGCAGTCTTTAGCCTCCTTGTTAGTGAGTCCGCCTCCCATGCCGGAGACCTGGGTTCGAGACCCACTCGGAACAAGAACGAGGTGTGGCGGTGAGGACCCGGGAGAGAGGGGTTACACAGAGTTCTCTGCATAAAGACCCACGGCTGGCAGATCAACATGCTACTTCTTTTCTCTCCGATATGGTAGGAAGTTAAATGAAATGAAATGTGGAGGATGTTAACTGTGACAAGATGTTTGACAGGACAGTTTACATTGACAGGGTGCATGTAATTGTAATTGTGTGTGTACAAACGTAATTGTATGATGTGATAGTAAGTCCCAAAGCTTGCCTACTCTTCTGCTACACTCTCAAAAGTGTGTATTTTTTTTCTCTCAAAAGAGTAGGCTACATATTTTAAGGGCGTAATATAAGTATGCACATTAGCAGCAAATGTCTTTATGAATGAGTCACTGAATTCTTGACTCACTCGATTCATTCAAAAATGTGGATTCATTAGTTGCAAATCACTGCTGTGTGTCAGAAAGGCACAACAGTTCTGGGGCCTGTACCATGAAGCTGGATTAGCTGGCTAGCCAGGTAAGGTTCAGTTTAGTTTGCACCAATCCTGGGTTTTAGGTACCATGAAAGTGGCTTGGCTTTTAGCAGTGTTCATCGCCATAGTAACTTACGCTCCACAGCTCCACAGCTCTTCACAATCACTGCTGTGTGTCAGAAAGGCACAACAGTTCTGGGGCCTGTACCATGAAGCTGGATTAGCTGGCTAGCCAGGTAAGGTTCAGTTTAGTTTGCACCAATCCTGGGTTTTAGGTACCATGAAAGTGGCTTGGGTTTTAGCAGTGTTCATCGCCGTAGTAACTTACGCTCCACAGCTAACCTGCTCCGGGGCGGGTTATGTTCTAGTTTAGAGATCGCAAACTGAAATTTGACCAATCAGCTTCAAGAAAAGTGACACATCTCTCATGCAATAAAGCCACTCCCCCAGTTTCTCTTGCTCCAAATTAAAGGGCACTACATAGTAAAACATTTTTAAAGATAATAATTAATAATAATAATAATAATAATAATTTATGCATTTAGCAGACACTTTTATCCAAAGTGACTTACAGTGCATTCAGGCTATACATTTTTTACCAGTATGTAAAAAGATAAAAGATACATTTTTTAAATACAATTTTTTTTTGAAGATAAAATCATCAGGCTTTTAGTGATGATTATTTATTATGATTTATATATTTATTATATAGTCTTAATCCATTACAAAAGCCGTATTAAAATAATAATGATTCATCTTTTATTTTAAATTAATATAAATATATACAGATAATATAGAATATAAATAAGCTTTACAATTAATGGATAAAGCTTTAAACATGACTACATTTGAGTTTAGATTTTTGAGTCTCTTTATATCTATATATTATCAACAATATAAACTAATGTCACACGTTTCACTTGCACTGATATGCCAAGATGTTTTCTTTTAGTTGTTTTAGTTTTCCTCTTTCACTGACAGCTCTTTTCACCATGCTGTGTAAATGTATTTAAATGATTTTTCAATCTTTTAATCTATGGCAGTGAATTGCGAGAAGTGAATCACAGTTAAAAGGCATATGATTGGCTGTTCATTACTGATGTCACGCTTTCAAGTGCACGCGCTTCATTAACTCCGGCTCAAAGCCTGAGTTGACAGAGAAAGTTGATGGTCAGCATCATGGTACCAACAAAGCCAGATTGGATTGGTTTGGTTTTGTCAACTCAATTCTAATCCTGTATCCTGAGTTTGTTCAGCCACTATCATGGTACAGGTCCCTGCTGTGGCTTTGATTAGAACTATTTTCGTTTGTGAAACAGACAATATTGTGTCTAAAATATACTTGTACTTGTTTATTGAACTGTTGTATAAATCAATATCACATTTGTAGACGTGCAGATATTAGGGAAAACTGCAGTAATTACGAGAAAGGCTCTAAAATGTTTTCTTCTTGACAGAAGTTCTTCTTGTTTTTGCTTCCTTTCCCCTCCAGATTCTCAAGTGGTTTAGTTTTCCATGACTCACTGGTGTACCCATTCACTTTCAAAGTATGAAAACAGCAGCTTTGACACCCATAAAACAAAGAAAGTCATAGAGGTTTGGAATGACATGAGGGTGAATAAACGATGACAAGAATTTTCATTTTTTGGGTGAATGTGAAAACAAGCTTCATGTGCTTCAAATGAGGATTCATTTTGAAAGCAAAAACATCACTTCAAAGTCCACAACCCCATTCTTAGCATGTCTCTTAAAGCAGGGGTGTCCAAACTCGGTCCTGGAGTTTAGCTCCAACTTGCCTCAACACACCTACCTGGAAGTTTCTAGTATGCCTAATAAGACCTTGATTAGCTTGTTCAGGTGTGTTTAATTAGGGTTGGAGCTTAGTTTGGACACCCCTGTCTTAAAGGAGTACTTGACCCAATAATTACAATTCTGTCATCATTTACTCACCCTCAAATCGTTACAAACCCATAAGACTTAGAATATAATCTTCAAAACACAAATCAATATATTTTTTAACAAAACCTGATAACCTTAATGACCTTTTTGGATCTCGTAAATTTTAGTTACCTGAAGGGTCAGAAACAACTCAGGTTTCATAAAAAATATATTAATTTGTGTTTTGAAGATTAAGTCTTTGAGTTTATACGATTGAGTCTTATGATTTTGGAACAACATTTGGGTGAGTAAATGAAATTATTTTATTTCTGGGTCCCTTTTTATAACTGTCCCTTTAATACATCCAACATAAATTCCTCTCTGGATACTTCAGTCCTTTAAACACTCTTGTGGATTTAATTAGCATCACAGAGTATCTTAAAAGAACATAATAATCAAGGTGTCAAATCATCAACTATTAAAACCATTTAAACACTGTAATACATGACCAGACAGGACCCAGAAATGGAAAGGGGAAAAATAAAAGGGCCTGCAAACTAACATGAGAAAGCATGAGATTTCAGAAAACTCAGAGAACTCAGAAAAAGGAAGCACTGACAACCATAGCAAACACAATGAGAGAGACACATAACATTCAAGAGGTGTGCTGGCTAATGCGTCTCACCCTTTTGCGTAGGTTACAGGTGAGAATGAGGTTTCGGGAGAAAGAGTTGGCAAACGCTGTGTAGAAGTCCAACACTTTCAGCAAGGCTTCTCTCTTTATAATGTGAAGATCACAGTACGTTAACGCCCGAACGTTAGCGCATGAGTGGGCCAAAGTTGTCTCCTTCCAAAACACATCACCAAACACGTCCCCTTTACCTGAGAGAGAAAGAACAAAAAATATTAGAGAATATGCAAAGAGAAGATTAGAACAATATTTAACAGAGCAGAGAGTTAGTGTGAGACTAGACTGCTTTAATTGATGTCAGTCAAATGCATAATCTCACAGCAGGGTTGAGCAGCAGAATGATCAAATTTGACATTTCAGTGAATATTCTCTTTATAGAGCTGCATGGCACAGGCTTGAGCAGGATAATTACTTAACTGTATTGGAAAAAAGTTTAGCTTACTCGTATTAAAATGGGCAACTTACCTAAAAATTTAAATATTGTTATCAATTACTCTCGTCATTCTGAACTCATTTGACTTTATTTCTTGTGATGAACAGACAGAAATATAAAGGGAGAGTTCACTTAAATATGAAAATTCTGTCATCAATTAATCACCTCATGCCATTACAAAACTCTATGACTTTCTTTCGTCTGCAGAAAACAAAAGATATTTTAAGAACTGTTACTGAATGTTGAAAGTTTTCCCCTTGCTCTGGACTGTTCCTTATACAAACCCATCAATTAGTTTCAGAAGATTTAGAACAATGTGCATGAGTCATATGAACTCTTTTTTTTTAACCTAAAACGAGCAGCTCAGACGTTCTGCAAAACATCTTTTATGTTCCACATAAGAAAGGAAATCATATGAGTAAATGACAGAATTTTAAATTTTCTGGTGAACAGAACTGAATGGAATTACTGACAGATCTTTTGTGTTTGTGTGTGTGTGTGTGAGAGAAATCAGATTATCAAAAAGAAAAAAAAATGTAAGGCAGGGTCTTGGTTAAATTCAATGGTTGATGAACTGTTAACAATGAGATCAGTTTTTAGAAAATAGATAGGATGAATTTTCATTTCATGCCAACTTCAAATTTTAAGGACAAAAGCAAACCAAAACTATTCACGAATGCAATAAATGTGAAGCACACAACACACTTAAAGCTCAAGGACCTTTCTTTAATTATCTCTCATTTTCAGAACTGACAGAAAGCTTTAGTGAATGAGGATAAGGAACAGTAAGAAAGCAGTATAATTGCTGCATTAGATAAATGTGGCATTATCAGAGAGGAGTATAGTTGTCTCTTATTGTTTGAGATGCCGAAGATTAATGGCACACTGATCTCTATGATCACTTTCCACAGATCCTCGGCGCCGGGAACCTAAAATAGACCTTCAACCTTCAAGTTTCAACTCTGCACTGATTCCATAGGTCGCAGCAGAGCTGAACATACATTTACCACAAGAACAACAGACATACACCAGGGCAAACCAAAAACCTTATTTGGTTGGTTTTAAAAGAATATTTCTTGTTTTCCGACTAATATTTTTAATGCTGATCTCGGCATAATTTCAACACCGAGATCGTCTGTCACAGGTGTTTGTCCTGGCAATTAAAGACTTATTCCTAGTAGCAAAACACATTTAATTGGCTGCACATGCCAGACCAATTAAACCACAACTAGCAGCTGCTAGGAGTGAATGCACAAATGCGCTCTAATGAACCTTTCAAAGCAAAACTGAAAAATTCTCTTTTCCTGAAAATCATTGTTCTGGTGTAATTTTTATAACAAAGCAAACCCCTCTTGTGTCAACTCTAATAATAGGTTGTAGAGTGCAGGCACAAGAGCTGTTAAGTTGCATTCAGTAGAAATCATATTAAAAAACTTAGCCTCTATACAACTTAATACCCATTCCAAAATGATTTTCAAGCTTTATGTAAACAATATTCTGATAAATAAATAAGGTGTGATTCACATGGTCAGGGTGTTTATTTTGATTCGAACATACCGTGTGCAGCAGATATGGCCTGCAGAGACTTTGTCAAGGGCTCTACTGAGAGTTTGAAGACATATGTAGTACAGCGAAGAGACTGTGGGGATTTACAGTTCATCTCAGACAGAAGAGCAAAGCCACCAAACGTGGTCTCCAAGGAGTCATGCGTTACCATGGCACTCTGTTGCCGTGGGGACAGTGTTGAACCCATACCTTCGGGATCCATACTGTCATATTTTATAATACTTTTATAGTGTGTGTAGAGTAGAGGTTGAGAATGTTAGGCAGAATATGCAAATAAGCAAAAATGCAGCAAAAAATTAGGCTCTGAAAGCAAACACAAAATTTTAATTTTAAATTTCATTTACTCACCGTCATGTCAATCCAAACCTGCATGATTTATTTTCTACTGGACAACACAAAAGATGATATTTTGAACAACGTTGAATTTTTTTCCCCCCATAAAATTAAAGTCAGTGGGATCCAAAACAACATTTAGACCCAACAACATTTCACTGTATAGGCAAAAAACACAGACTATTCAGAATATCTACTTTTGTTTTCAACAGAACAAAGAAATCAATACAGGTTTGGAATGGATGATGGTGAGTAAATGATGCCAGGAGCTTCATTTTGGGTGAACTTTAAGTAAACAAGTGACTCTTGGCAATGTTTTTCCTTCATTTACACACATTTACAACAGTTCTGTTGAACACAGTCCAGCGAAAATAGTTTTGGGTAAACGTGAACCATATGGATAAATGTGACTAATGACTTAATTTCGTTTCATTCATCTCCTGCAGAGCCGCTCAGCTATACACCTCGCTAACTCAGCTCTCCAGGAGCTCATCTTCCTCTGCCCAGACACCCACCACCCTCCTGGGCACAGAGAGACACTTTGGGTCCAGGTCTCCTGCTGAGGCCTCAACTTAGTGGCCATTAGAGATTCGTGATTAATGGCGCTGCATGGTTCCGTTGCTATGACGACTCAAGTGAGAATGATAATCTAATGCGATTTCTGTGAAGCAGCTGATTGAAAGTTTGAAAATGAGACAGTGCTTGTATTGGAAGGCAGTCTGATAACAAATGAACAACTTTAAAGAAACATCTATTTTTTAATCTTTGAGACGTGTATGCTGGTTTTGTTCTGTTGTGTATCAAAATCTGTTCCTGCTGTTTTAAATTGTTTTCATCACCATGGCAACCAAAATGCAATAGATGGGATTTTTTGCCCGTCATTTTCTCACACCACAGATGGCCTAAACATATCAGATGCTGTTGTACGAAACATGCTGAAAGTTATTGCAGAAACGTGGTTGTGTTGTTGCGAAGTGCATCTCAAGTGCAAAATTACAGTATACGGCAAGTCAGCCTAATCTACACACTTGGTCTAAACAAGTTGAAACAGATGCAGATGGCAGCACAGAATAAAGCCATGCAAACATCTGTGTTGCAAACCCCTCCATAGTGCTGTTGGTTTTTTTTGCAAGATATTTCTGGAAAACAAATTTAATCAGTTGCATTATACAGTGTGGAGTCAGTCATTTAGATCAGATTCCAATTGGATACACAAATAATCAGAATTGGACTGGCAGTGTGAATGAAGCTAAAGGTCATAGAATGTATTAATTAGTGCTTTTAAAAACTTTTAAACTTTAAAACTCAGTTTTTAAACTAACCCAGTATAGCGATGACCTCGTCATCCTGGATGACCTCCAGTGACCCTGACACCACGAAGCAGAGCAGGTCCACGCTTTCACCCGCATGGAAGATGAGGTCACCAGGGGCGGAGTGTATCATCTGGAACTCCACGGCCAATGAGCGCAAACATCCGTCACTGGCCAATCGGAATGCTAGGTGCTCGTTGAACACCTTCGTGTTCAGGTGCACGCAGATGTCTGCCCGCATGTCCTTGGGGCAGATGGAGAGCACCTGTGCACAGAGATGAATTTCCAATTCAGTATTTTCCACGGATAATATCAAAAACTTCAGTCATGTAACCATCCCATCTGTTTCAGTCTCACCTTCTCTGTGTCGATGCCTTTGGACATGGACCACGTGGAGACGATGTAGTCCATCACTCTCTCACTGAGGCCTTTGGGCACCTGGTAGAGCTTGAGGAAATCCCGCACGTTATTCAGCATTTCGTGGTAACGGTTGGTGTTTGCATACATCTGCTGGAAAATGGTTGTCACATTACCGAAGATAGTGGCGTAAAGGAGAGCTTTAGGACATGAGGAGAGAAAAAAATTGTCATGTCAGACAGATTTGAAATAAGAAAAACTAAATCTGGTTAAGTTGTTACAATATTACACAATAGTGTTCACTTTTGAGAGTCTGAATATGTGGCTGACTTAAGTACTTAAAATTTAATTATTAATTAATTAATTACAAAAATAAAACAGTTGCATAAATGTACTTTTAGTATTTATTTATTTTTTAAATTTTCAAATATAGCTTAGAACAAAGTACATGTGTACTTGGACAAAGAACATTTATTTTTAAACAAACTGTAAAAAATTACCAACATATGCTGTATCAATTGTAATACATAGTAATTGTTGTTTTAAAATTTCATAATATACACTTTCACAAAGCTAGATCTTGATTTAAATGATTTCTTTTAATTTCTAAAAATGTATATTTCTAAATGTCACTTTTATATGACATTTATATTTTCAAACCCATATTTACCCAAAGAGCTTGTAATAATGAAAGTCACCGGATGTCATTTGGAACATTATTTTATGAACAGAATATTATTTCAATGCAGTACTAGAACAAGTACAAGCAAAATTGTTTGTTTTCCCATTTCTCTAGTACTTGAATATTACATTTTACAATGAGATGTCTTATATACGTGTATATATATATATATATATATAAATAAATGAAAGAAGAGTACATGTAAACTTCTGGTACTGTGTTTATTGCCTTTCTCATGAGTTACCACGGTATCTTTGCTCCTCGTCTCTATGGCAACCTTCCCTAAAATAGCTTTCCAAATACTTCTGCTTACAACCAATAAGGGAAGAGCGGGAACAGAGAAGAAAGTGAAGAGGATGGAATATGATGAGATAAAATGGATGATGAAAAGCCAGCGAAATGACCAAGAATTTGTACAGTAAGAAAAATGATTTTGATCACAGAAAGACCGCCAGAGAAAGGTAAAGAGAACAAACAGTTAAGAAAGAAAGAAAGAAAATTCAAAATTTTAAAGAAATTAAAAGTGGTGTCTAGTTTTTGATCAAATACTCTTAATCTTAATATGCAGAAACTATAAGATCTGATTTCACTGAACAGTGTAAATGCTGTTGCTCTGTTCATGCTGTAAACTGAATAAATGTCCACGTATGATGTGCTTTAAATAAGACTGAAAGTATCAACACATTTTCACAATTTACAAAGTAAACAAATCACTCTTTTAGTAATAACTGAATCAGTGTTTGAGAAACAAAAATGATCTGTGCATGCATGATGTGAGCAAATCATTGAATCAGAGTTGTTGTAAATCAGTTCTTTGAAAAAAAAAAGTTTTGAAGTAACACTTCACACTCTCAAAAAAATAGTCAAATATGTCTTTAATAGCCAATATAATGTGCATTAAAATGATCACGTTAACATTGCATGTGAATTATGAATACTGAATATATTTTCCAGTCCTAACTGGCTGTGACAGTTCCTCACAGCATCAGTCAGAGATGATGACTGAGAACATGTGATCATAAAAGTCTGCTTGTTTTGAACAGCTTGTAATAAATATAAACAGTAAAGGGGTGGTTGATTGCGATTTCACTTTTTTAATGTTAGTTAGTGTGTAATGTTGCTGTTTGATCATAAACAATATCTGCAACGTTACGAAGCTGAAAGTTCAATGCAAACGGAGATATCGTCTTTTAAAATTCTTGCAGTTTAATGCCTACAAAAACGACTGGTAAGGGACTACAACGAGTTACTTCCCGGGTCCGTTACGTCAAGAACCCAGAACTTTACATAAACCCCGCCTCCGGGAACACGCAGCAAAGGGGGCGAGGCCATGCTGTGCTGCTTTAGAGAAGAGGAAGAGAAAACTACAGGTGCACGTAAAAATCTATTCATATATGAATCGCGATTCTGTCTTCTAATGATTCTAATGGATTCACAAGTTTCAAAGTCAATGTTCTAAAGCAGCGTTCTCATCCTGTTCCTGGCCTTGCCCTGCTCTGCATCTCTCTCATGCTAGAGGCGGTTTAGCCAATCACAACACACTGGGCAAGCTAATCAATCAGAGCCCATCGTGTATTTCTGAGGGAGGGGCTTCATAAAAGCAGGAAATGATCAGTGCGCTCAGAGGAGAAGGGACAGAGAAGTGTGGAATAAAGGTAAATTATGTGAAAAATTATGCGTTTTTTAACAAACGAAGCATTAACACATGTTAGACTGCACCCCATAAACACAATCAAGCCTATAAAAAAAACAGTCAACCACCCCTTTAAAGGGGTCATATGATGTGATTTCAAGTTTTCCTTTCTCTTTGGAGTGTTACAAGCTGTTTGTGAATAGATAAGATCCCTAAAGTTGCAAAGACTAAAGTCTCTAACCCAAAGAGATATTCTTTATAAAAGTTGACTCGTCCAGGCCCTCCTAAAATGCCTCGTTTTAAACACACCCCCCCACATGTCTACGTCATGATGTGGGAAGATTTGCATAACGCCGCCCAAATGTTCACGCAAAGAAAGAAGGCGTAACTTTATTGTTGCTGCCACCGCCGCCACCATGTTGTGAAGACGCGGTGTGTTTCGTTGCGAAAGCGAAAATACTTCCAAAAGAGGACACAACCAGAAATCAGTGGTTAAGTTGTATATACAACACTGTTCCAGAACAGTTCAACCCAAATATTCAGATTTGTGCAGCGCATTTTATGGAGGACTGTTTCCTGA